CAGCCTCTCCCGCCGCCCCGCCCGAACCTCGGCCTCCCGGGCCGGCCGCACCACCTCCTCAGCAGCTACCCCGCTCAAGAGCCGGGACGGCGCCTGCTCCGCCTCCTCCGGCTCCGCGAGTCGCGGCGGCGGCGGGGCGACGGGGCGCCGCGAGGGACAAGCGCTTTCGGAACGCGAACGCTCTCTGTCCCGGACCTACGCCCCCGCCGTCAGCTTCGCCGCAGAGCATCAAGCGGGAGTCTCGCCCGCTCTCCTCCGGGAACAGCGGCCAGGGATACGCTTTGGGCCGGGAATTTGAGTGGCAGGGGCGCTAGTCTGACCCCATTTCTTTTACGAAATAGCGGCAGGAGACGTTTTTCGTCCAAGGTCGTATAGCTAGAACTTGGCAGTGTGACTCAGGGCGAGAATATTCTTACCTGACTGACTATAAACTCCAGAAGAGCAGCGACCTGTCCACCTGGGTTTCAGAAGTATTCCCCACCTTATTGGACAAAGCCCTCAGAAAGCGCTTGATTGAGTAAAGGATGACTACCTCCCAGAATCGAGTCCTTTCCACTACCAAAGCCCACCACCCTATCTTTTTATCTGTGATGCTTATAAAATACGATTCTAAATAATGAGATTAGTTTCTACACTATCTGTGTAAACAGATTCATTTCTTTGTAACCAAACCAAGTGATTTTCCTCTCTCTATGTGGTTTACTTTAGGCAGGGTCTTCTGGTACGTCTCTTTAAATAGGTTTGCCCAGCGCAGTGCCGGACACATAGGTGGCACTGAATAATAAACTTGTACTAATTTTTCTAACATTGTCTTAATTTCCTCCTTTCTCCATCCGGAGGAATTTGTTGCTATATCTCTCTACATATGCTTATATGTTTGAAGAGTGCTTGGCAGACAGTAGGAGACAGATGGACGGATGGTTGGAGAGAGCGAGAGAATAAAGGAGGAAACACTATGTGCATAATGTGCCTTTTTTCTATCTTAAGTATTACAAAATGAATTTTTTGTAAGGGAATAAAAGGCACATGTGTATAATACCAACCCCCTTTTCTCCTAGGAGAAGCCTTGTGGTCTGGTGCAGCATTTAACAGCTGCTGACAAACTGCATGAGTTTGAATCCACAGCCCATCACCTGATAGTTATGTGATCCTGAGTAAGTTCTTTTACTTCTCCAAGCCTGCCCCTTCTTCTGTAACATGGCAATAATGATAATAATACCTACCTTCTTAGGTGGTTGTGAAGAATATATAATACATGTCAAGCATCTATCAGATGCACAGCACTTGCTCTACTGATCTCAGCTGTCATTACTGTTGTGGAGCTCACTGAAAAGTTGAAATCCACAGGTTTTGAGGCAAATTCATTGTTACGTTTATAACAGTATTTCACCATCTAAGCTATATGATATCTGTAAGGAGTATAGGGGTGGAAGCCCTTCCAAAAAACACTGTCTCTGTGATATAAGGAGGAAGACAGGAAAGACACACTCCCTGCTCACTGGGAGATAATGAAGTCATATTCCAGGATGGAGGCAAATAAGATGAACTTCAGGAGGCTTGATGGCCTGATCTTTCAGGGGAAAGTATTCCTCAGAATTTTAGTATTACAAAATGTTTGAGTTGGAAAGACCCTTATAGAGCACCTATTCTAATCCCATTATTCTATAGGTAAGACAAGCAACGTCCAGAGAGGTACCATAACTTGCCAAAGGCATGACAGCTGAAACTGAGCCTGGGCTCTGCCATCCTGAGCATATGATGCTAGGCAAGTCACATCACCTCTCTGTGCCTCAGTTTCCTCTCAACCAAAGACTATCATCTCTTCCCAGCCTTCTACCTCAGAGTAGTTTGGAGGATCCCATAAAACAATGTCTGTGAAAAAGGCTTTTTCTTTAAAAAAATAAATTGCACAAATATCAGATCACAAAGGACGAAGACCCTTTACAGAGGAGCAAGTTCTCTAGGGCACAGCTCCCTCCGAGCAAGACTGTAGAGAATCTTGACCCCGGGAGCCCTGCATCAGCATCGCCAGTGGATGCCGGTGTTAATTCTGTGGACATCAGGAGTGTGAGAAGAGACAAGGCCTTCGTGACGTTGCACATGCATGCTGGGTAAAGGCTTTGCAGGGGGAATCTCTGGAAGGCAGAGGGCTAGGAAGAAGAGTTTATTTAGGGGGAACATTGCAAAGATAATACTTCAAACTCTTTTGTAGAAAAAACTTACTTAAAAATCCAGGGCTTCCCTGGTGGCGCAGTGGTTGAGAGTCCGCCTGCCGATGCAGGGGACGCGGGTTCGAGCCCCGGTCCGGGAAGATCCCACATGCCACGGAGCGGCTGGGCCCGTGCGCCATGGCCGCCGAGCCTACGCGTCCGGAGCCTGTGCTCCGCAACGGGAGAGGCCACAACAGTGAGAGGCCCACGTACCGCAAAAAAAAAAAAA